GAGATATGGTGCATCAACCCGGCCATATGCTCCACCCTTAAGAAGACATTGCTCCCCATCTCGAAGACCCATTGCTTCTCCCAAACCACTTGGTGCATGTATCCCCAATGGTCGTCCATCACCCTTCCCCTTTAAAAAGGCAGTAGAGATATCGAAATTGAGCAAACTCCATCCTTTACTAGCTACCAGCTGTAGAAGGAGTTGGCGTCCATCTTTGGACAACGTTGGCGCGTCTCGTGGGACCTCTGCCAAACCTGGGTCCTCAAAGCCTAGAACAACCAATCGTGCCTTTGCACGACGCTCAACCCCTCCTACTTCTGGAGCTTTCCAAGTGAGAATCCAGCGACATCGCATTATTTGCTCAGGTTTTAAAGTTCCTCTGGTCACCTTTTGAACCGTTCCGTGATCGATCCATGCCTTGATTTCCTTCTGTTTTGCAGCATCAAACAGCTTCTTATCCCCATCACTCAGACCTCGATACTGCACCTCAACCTTTTGTTTTCGGGCATTACTTGCAACAAGAACATGTTCAGCAAACAAGGTATGGATTGGATCACGATCATTTTCCTGAGGATCATCCTGGCAATTCTGAAAGGATTCAGTGGCTATATTGATTTCCCAAACTCCAGCCTCACATTCGGGTTCTATGAGGTCGTCCCCAAAAGCACACAAACCATCCTCATCATCCGAACCCCATGCGGGCACTGGTACCTCATGTGGTTCAACCTTTTCGGATTCGACCTCATTTTCTCCAGAGTTCAGTGGGCTTTCAGTTGAAACAGACTCGGGCGGAAACATCTCTCCTTCAGGTTGCGATTGGTCCATGGGTGTTTCAGGTGGTGTTTCCCCAATAGAGGGTGAATAACCTTCAGATTCAACATCATCAGGTACATCATTCCCCAAATCAACAAAACCCCTACCCTGTGGATTCTCATCAACGACTTCCCCATGGCTATTCCGAGGCAACCTGTGGTATTCTCGCAAGGATGCCGGTCTGATTTGTTCGGGACTGGCTCTAATGATGCGTCCAAGATGGCTCAACCAAACAACTTTGCGACCCTCAACAACAATCACTTGAGCAGGCCCATGCCAGCGTCCACGCTCATTACGTGAATTGGCCTTATTTTGACGCCAATAGAGTACCCAGTCCCCTGATTCAAATTCTATTGTTCCCGGTCGGTTCCTCCTCAGCAAAGCTCTTCGAAACGCCGAGTCATTGTCCGCTTGGACGAATGCACGTCGTGCTATCTCCCTTCTGCGGAGACTCTCTTTGAACCAATGTCCCTCACTTGTGTCGCTCTCTGCAATTGCATGACTACCAGTTCCTTCGTCCGAGACAATGGATCCAGGAAGAGCTCGGGCTTTGCCCAATAAACATTGCTCTGGAGTGAAACCATGAATCCTACTCAGTGAGTTCTTGGCAGCACAGGCTTGACGAAGATGGTGTTGAAACTCTTCATCGGTAGTCACGGGAAATTCCCTGTCCATGCGAGTCAACATCTCTTTCAAAACCCTTCCATGAACCTCACATCTACCATTTTGCCAATGTGCCTCTGCTGCAGTCATGGATGCTTTGATATTTTCAGTTTGAAGGTATTGCGCCCATTCCTCACTGTTATATTCCCCTGCTGGGTCCATATAGAGGACTTTACATGGTCCAGCCCAGGTCAACCATGCCGTTTCAAAGGCTTTGACCTGTGCCTCAAAGTGCCTGTCATTGTGAATCCCTACATGGAATAACGTGGCTTCATCAATAAAATGCATGAAATGAAACTTCTTACCGGCCGAACTGGTCCAATAAGCCCCATCACAACCAACAACATCATTAAATTCAAGATCCTCATGTATTCGTGCTGGTTGTGAAAGCCGTGGTTTTCCTTGGGACTCCAGGCACACATCGCATTGCATATCCATGGCCCCTTGAATCACTTCAGGTTTGGCTCCCCTTTCAGTGAGAAACTTTCCCATTCTGACAGGATCAGGGTGCCCCAAATTCGAATGCAATCGACGTAAATCCCTTTGAACTTCTTTATCCAAACCCAAAAATTTTGGCCCAGATTTTGGGATGATTTTGGGAGCCCAGGCAACATCAGTACCCCTTGCACGTGGGTTAGCAGCCGGAACTTGCAAAGACTCACACATTGGTGAGTCGGGGAACGGCTCAGCTGCTGTCGACTCACCTGCAAACGGTAAATGCTGCTCCTCAATTGGAACTGCAATGCTCAGCCGCATGACTGTGGGACGCCGGCATATGAGCACCCTGAGGACCCTTTGGATCCATAGGATGCATGGGATCATTCCTATATCCAAACATGGTCAGTGATATCTTGGCTGGTCCAGTGGCCCTGACTTGTCTGAGTTTGGGAAGACGAATCCACTCTTCAATCGGTCCAATCTCATGAACCCTACCATCCTCCCTTCCTACAATTACCGTTTTACGCCAAGGATATCTTTCACTGCCAGGTCTGGATGGTAGGACTCTGTGTCGATCTGTGCCCCTGCAAGCAACCATGGTTTTGATCTTGAGCTCGGGAACCAATTGTTGAACCAACCCTGTGACCAACTCACTCTCCCCAAAATAAAAATTGCCAACCCTTGGGGTCTGGTACCCAACTGTTCGAAAAACAGCCTCCCATGTTGGAGCCTTTCCATACATCGAAGTTTCTGGTTGCTTTGCATTGACGCGTCGACGTTTTTGCAGCTGCAGCGCCTCTGGTGCCATTTCGGGCTTGTCATGTTCTTCAAGTCCCAAAATCATTTCATCCACCACCAATGGTCGTTCCCACTTTTGGGTTCCCTCCCATAAACCCTGAGCTACTTTCCGTGCAAAACCTGCTGTATATGCCCGGGCATAACTGGAGATTTGAACCCATTTACCCTTAATTTTGGTTTGACCTTTGATGGGAACATGAACATGATTCTTCTTACAAAATTGATAGTTGAGCAACTCAAACAAATGCCTACTGGTGGTGAAGACTTGGGTCCGTTTTTGCAAGAAACCATCATGATGGGGTAATTGAAGTCCACCGACATGGCACATGTCAAAGGTTGCGGGCAGGGTACCCAACTTTGTGTCCATCAATTCAGGTTGGGCCATCATTTCCGAACCATAGGGCTGTTCCAAATGGAAATGCCTATTATGACTAACTTGGTGCAAGTACATGTCATTGCACAGTTTCAAGTGGTGTCGGTCGGCCTCTCTTTGATGATGGATTTTGTCAAACAACTGAGTACTCCTCCCCATATTAAACCGGGAAAATTTCCCCCAAAGTCGACATTCGGGTGCTACCCATATATGTTTTGGTTCATAGGCATGAATCCATGTCCACAACTTTTGTACCCCTTCTTCGGTCCCCAAATCCCCATCATCTCTTGTGAAACGAATGGCCTTTCCATATCGTGAGTTTGTTTGATGGACAAGTTGAGACTGAGGGTCACAGTAAACTTCCAGTACGTCTACCGTAGTTTCATGGACATGAAGACCACCTGATTGTCTCTTTCGGAATCCTGTCTTGGCCTGGGTAAACAACAAATCTTTTGACACTTTCGTCAGCTCCTCATCGATCAATTTCGATCGTTCATATATTGCTCGGTGAATTTGTTGTTCTTCTACAGGACTTAGACATTTCAAAGGTTGGTCATCCATGATATATGCGACTTCCTTAGACAGTTCATCTACGCTGGTTCGGATGGATTCTTTGATCCCTGAGCCTGGCTTTCGCTGTACATCTGCTGATTCAGCTCTCGTTGCAAGAGTGCAATCTTGGTCTGAATCTCCTGCACCTTCTGGGGATCGTGTTCCACCATCATGGATGTCTTGGTCTCTTCGATCGATCTCTTGTTCTCGGTTTTCATAGGTCCGTGAGTCTTGGACACTGGCTCCATGCTGCTCACTGTGATCCACTCGCCCTGAGAATTGTGCATCGACGATGATGTCTTGGATGCTCTTTGCGGTGGCAGCGGCATCTGACTGCCAGTGATTGTCTCCTGATGAGCTGCTTCGATCCGTGCCAGGCTGTACATCTGAAAACTTTTTACCCAGGATGACACACCTTTCCGGTTCTTCATCTGATAAACGTAGTTGGGATCCTCCGCATAAATCTGAGCGAAGGTCTTTCCTGGATGTTTCCCTGCTGGTGCCTTGAGTTGTCCCCATTCCTGGAGACTGTTGATCCCCGGAGGCTTCGTGATCTCGGTCTGCTCGCTCCGGGACACCTGAAAGGTGAGCGAGGGATCGTCGGGAACTTGAAGTTCCCGTTCCAGATACTTTGGGCCATGGCGATCTGACATGATGAGCTGGAACGTTCGAATTGGCTGTAAGATCTTGATCACTGAAATGGTCTTGCTGATTGCACTGAGGATTCTCACTTGGTGTCTGAAAAGTTACATGTAACCCCTGGTTCATGATTCGAGATTGCCTTTCAATACCCTTTTGGATGTTTTCATTAACCAAAACAGAGTGGTTGGGATTTTTGGCATGACATGGCATTTGAGGTCGTGTAACACCATTTGTCTCCCGCACTTCATGGTCCTGGTACTGTTGTTGTTCTTTCGTGTTTTCAACATGCATGATCGTCTCATCCTCCATCCCTTGTCCTACCTTCGTGGGTGGTGATTTTGTCAATAATTCCGCAACATTTACCCCCAGAAGATTCTTCCTACATGGATGAAGCTGAATACCACCCTCATGACCCTTGAAGTGCAACATCTGTTCATCGACATCAATAATCCCCTTTAATCCCTTTAGGATAGAGTTTGATATCAAGAACGGTGTCTGCCCTGGCACTACCTCCACTCTCAGCCAGCCATTTTGACGTCGAGGAAGCAGGATGGCAAATCTGCTAGTCAGCTTAGATGAATTTCCAAACTTGAAAGTCACACCAGGGGTACGAGCCCGATAAACCAAACCCCTCAAATCCTTGGGAAGTGACTCAAGTAATCCAGGAACCCTTTCTTCACCAATCACAGCCCTACTGGCCCCAGTATCGATTATGGCTTCCCCTGCTGCTTCCTCGTTGTTAAAAAGACAGGCAGCTACGGAAAAACTGTCTTCCTCTGGAGAGACAGCACCGTTGCCCACATGCTTGGCTGTCACGGCTGTGGTGGCTGGCGCTGCAGAAGCATCACGGTGCAAGTTGAAATGCTTCCTACAGCATTCGCTCAAACGGGTTGCAAGGCATGTTGAAAAGGTGGATGCTTTCAAATGGTGTGCATCATGGGACTTTAAATAATCACTTGTCATGAAACATGCATGAGATTCTTGTTGCGTCATGTTGCATGCACTCTCTAGGCGATTCTTCAAAACTTGGAAACCTTGGCTGATATTCTTAAAGATTTGATTCACAGCTTTGTACATGCGTTGAACCCCATGGAGTCCTGAAGTCCCGTCCTGCTCGTAGATCTCCGCATCCTCTGGCAGATGGTTCATGACATCCACATAGGTCTCTTCAAGCGCCTCTGGCTCTTCCATGGAAAGGCCCGTGAACACGCCCTTGTCTTTGTCAGGGCTATTGTTCAAGGGGCATTCTTGGCGCCAATGCCCCGGCTGTCCACACTTTCGACATGTGGAGTTTGCGATCCTTTCTGCCAAACTTCTCCTTTTCATCATCAGATTGCCTCCTCCTTTGGATTTCTTTCCACCATGTTTTCCTTTCCCTTTTGCATTGAACCCAGGACGGATCGGCCAGAAACCCCGTCCACGAGCTTTCTCCTTCAGCCTTTCTCTTGCCTCTTGGTACGTCACGAAGCAAGACGACAACTCAGGTGAGTCCTGGCATGTCAGTAGAATCTGCTCTTCGAAGTCCTGGATGAAGTGAGCATCTTCATCTCCCTCATCGACCAGGCTTTGAATCAGGATGTCCTCATCCACTTCCATGTCCTGGGCAACAAAGGAGGCCATGTCCTCAGGTTCCTCGGTGTAGTTAACATCATAGGTCTTGGTGCGGCTCGAAGACTTTCCACTGCCCTGAAGGTCTTGGAAGAATTTTGAACCCAAGAGTTTGATGCTTTTCCGTGCATCCCGATACACCAGTTTTCCTTGACAGTCCATGATGATCTTCTTCCGATCATCTGGTGGCAAGGCCGATTGTCGGATCATGACATAAGCCCGAATCTCCTCAAGCTTGACCTCCTTGGTGATGAGCTCTTCAAAGGAGATGTCATGGCGGTTGAGGTAGCTGTCGTTGGTTTCATCAGGGCGTTGTACAGTGGTGTACAAGGCCTTTTCAAAGAGATCGTATCTGGCTTCCTCTTCGAGATGGCCCCACTGTCCTCCAAGCGATTCGACCAGGTATTGTACCCCATCGCGGGTCTTCAACTTCGATGCTTGGAGTCTGGCAACTTTCTGAAATGCCACTCCTTCCACCATGAGCGCTGCTCTTGGTGCCAGATGCTCTATGTGCTCGGGCGGCCATAGATCTCTCAGAAACTCAAGCTTCCGAGCGTATGTGCGGACATCAGTGATGCCCGGCTCAAACTTTGGTATCTGATGCCAGGGAAGGGACGATGATGGAATCCCTCCACTGGATCCCGCTGCTTCCGCAACATCTCCGCCAGACATGGCGTCACCACCGGTGCTAGCGTTGCCAGCAACAAAAAAAAACTGAAGGGCCCTGTCCTACTTGAACAACCCTATTGTATGTTGCGGCAGCCCGTGGGCTCCGCTACCAATGCGAATATGCCCTTCAAGATTGTTGGAGAAACCCTGTTTCCCTGCCTAGCGACCCTGTCAGCTGTGCCTTTCTTTTGGCTCTGAATGCCTCACCCTCCCACCTCTGTGGTGGTTCGAACCAACGAGCGGGGGCCGTCGATCCAAGTAAAGGAAGGTGCCTCAGAAGCTCATGAACGTGATTCCCAAATCAACAACATACACATATACATATACATATACATATACATATGCATATACATATACATATACATATACATATACATATCAACACATATCATATATATACACATATACATATACATATACATATACATATACATATACATATACATATACATATACATATACATATACATATACATATACATATACATATACATATACATATACATATACATATACATATACATATACATATCAACACATATCATATATATACACATATACATATACATATACATATACATATACATATACATATACATATCAACACATATCATATATATATATATACATACGTATGTATATATATGTGTGTGTGTGTTTCATACTTCCAACGTTTCACCAACCCCTGAGTCGAGGCACTGCCGAGCAAATCAACATCTTTCACGAGGCGTCGGCCCTTGCTGTCCAGCCTTTGCGCTGCAACTAGAGATGAGCAGCATTTGCCTGAACCCAAACTGTGTTTTCCATGTTTTTCCATTTCTTTGGAAGACTGTTGAGGTCTTCCATATTCTTTCCATTCTTTTTTGTGTTCCGTGTTCCTATTTCTTGTGTGTTTCCTGGTTTCTCGCCCAAGGCACAGGAGCAGTCTGGGCAGATTCGTCAGGACCAACATCTGCGCGGTCGCTTGGGACGGTACCATTTTCGAAAAGATCAATCACAAGAGGGATATGTACTTACTACAAGTGGATACATTAGGATGGTGTTGATGGTGTTGGACATTTATGAAATGGAACTAGGGAGGTCACAACGATTTTTCTGTAATTTCCAGTGTATCTCCACAGAACCACACATCAACTTTGGGTTGTGAAGCCACTTCCCATGATCTTGACACGAAGAAAACTCCATGACTGCAGAAAATGCCCCAAGTTTTCACTGGGCAGCTTTGACCCGACTGATCTCCCTGAAAGGATCCAAAGCGGAAATGGTTCGTTGAAAGAATGGATTTTCCACTGACGATCACAAGATCTCTGCATTGGACCCTACAGAACTAGAAACTCTTCTGCTCGCGTGTGATAAGAAAACTCCCCATGATGCACAGGGTGTCGCTTGTTGCGATGCTAACACGCCACCAAACATTTATATTGATTGCGGTTGCCATCCAGCTTTAGTCTGCTCTACACTGCAGTCGTGGCAAGAATAACAGTCCGCTTTGCTGCTCTCATTGCTCACCGCCAACACCACGGGAAGTTTCAGCTGTTGGCTCAGCTCACTGCTCGCTTTTTGGCCAAAGCAGCTGTCCTCAGAGATGAAAATTTGAGTCTTGACAGGCCTTGACTGGACTCTGCCCCTTCATCCTTTCTTACCCGCTGGGCCCCCGGTCGCAATGGCAAAGGCTTCCAGGGGTGCAATGGGACCCCGGAAGTCCAAACAAAAAACATCCTGCTGCGCTGCTGCTTTCGCAGGATGACTACATGGGAGAAGGGTCGGTCTGTAAACTCAGCCTATCACAGAATCACAGACGTGTCATTACTGTATATAAGTCTTTACAGTATCAGTCTTTTGTCTTTGGAAAGGAAAGGCCAAGTTGGGATGCTGCGAATAGCCCTATTTTGTTTGATTTGCACTTGCGTCGAATTCTACAGGAGTTGGGGCTAGCATTTTCTTTGCTATTTGGAATCTTGATACTCTTTTCGTATTCAATACGAAGATAAGTGTGGTTAGGGCATGCATTGGTGGTGTGACCCAACGAAAGCATGTGAAAGCAATGCAGTGAGACCTGGCCTTGGAGATCTTTCCAAACATCAGAAAGATTGTGTTTTGATCCTGCAGTCGCAACTCAGCCAGCTGCATCGCAGACCGAAAACTCTCAGTTTTGGGTGACACCAAGGAGCACACCCCATTGACCACGAGCTGAAAGTTTTTGGCACTTGCCTTTTTCACCTCAGGGCAGACACAAGAAGCCGCTGAAATTCTTCAAAGATACACACAGGAACTGTCACGCAGAGACACTTCACTAACAGAAGACAGGTAGAGCAAGTGTCTGAAATACCTGTTGATCCTCTTTCTCTTTGATTTGTCCTGCTCTGTTTGGATATCTTCCCCTTGCTAAACTAATCAGGCTCCCACCCTCCCGAAGAACGGCAATGCATAGGAATTGAGCTTCTTGTCCTTGGTCGCCCCGTCTGCCTCTGATCCTCTCTCGACTGCACTGGTGCCCAGGGGCTCCCCGCCCAGCGAGGCTTCAAGTTCCCCATGGAAGGCCTGACCGCTGAACGATCCATGGAACTTCCTCCCGAGCAGCGCAACCGCCCGTGGGTCGCCTTTCTTTGTTGTGCACGAAGTCGACTGAGACTTTCCTGCACAAGGAGCGGACACCACGAATGCGCACTGATCAGCCGCGACATTTGGTATCCCAAACCCTCTCAACCCGGAGATCAGTGAAACAACTAAGAAAGTGTAGGGTAGTCTTCATCACCAACACTTATGAGCTGTGGAGCATCAAGAAAATGCCATCTCAGAAGGTGGAAAGTCAAAAATGCACCCATCAAAGCCCTTTTTCCGGGATTTCACCAAGAAAACTTGGGGTTTCAGCAGCAAACAAAAATGGGATCTAAAACACAAACCACCCAGGACAGTATAGACATAACTAGAATTGTTCTTAGTATTATTGCTATTCTGTATATATATATGTACATGTAATACATAATACATCATATATATATATAATTATACATTTGTCTGTGGTATTGTTCTGAATTCATTATTATATTATATTATATTATATTATATTAATATTATATTGTATTATATTAATATTATATTATATTATATTATATTAATATTATATTATATTATATTATATTATATCATATTTATATTATATTATATTATATTATATTAATATTATATTATATTAATATTATATTATATTAATATTATATTATATTAATATTATATTATATTATATTATATAGTATATTATATTATATTAATATTATATTATAATTATATTATATTATATTATGTTATGTTATGTTATGGGTGTACAATACTAGTCAACTCACCTCCCTGCCTGGGGCTGTCCCCGAAAACGTTGGTCTCATAGCCGATCTTCATGACGACTTCCCGAGGCCTGGCGGCTGAAAACTGGTCCAGGGACAATGTCTTACCATTTGTGTCTAGATTCATAGAGTACAATAGTGATGAGTAAAAAATAGACTGTGTATATAGATAGATAGATAGATAGATAGATAGGTAGATAGATAGATAGATAGGTAGGTAGGTAGGTAGATAGATAGATCTAGTGATAATAATAATAATAATATATTATCATAATTAATCACTATCTATAGTCTATAGTACAATAAGACTGCAGAGTAATAATCACTATAGTACAATAATAATGACAATAATGATAAGAATAATATTATTAACAAATATCAAGAAGATGTATGCCCATCTGGAACTTCCAAGTAACATGCAAATCTACCGTGTCACAGCAAAACCTCTGGGTTTATGGTACCCAAATCCATGGCCTTAATGGAAGGCCTCGAAGCCAATCTGCATCTTTGGACAAGGCTTCCATCTGGGCATCAGGCTGGACCATTTTGATGCGGAACATAGTGATCAACCATCATCAACCATGATCAACCATCAAATTTGGGTGTAGCCTATTATACTTTCAATCAAAAGCCATGGGTCCTAAAGGTCACCGAGCATGGTCCCTGGTTGAGTGCCACACATCCGCACCAGCATCGTAGAGGATGAAGAGTGTACCCCAGAAGTTGGGTGTCACACAACCCAAATAATCCTAGCAGGGCGGGTGTTGAATCCAAGATGCTCCTCTCAAACAGGGATAGACAGGGTCTTGATGCCAGTGCTGTGGAAGGCAGTCCTCTGAATGCTCTGAACGTTCCAAATCCGACTGCGGCAGTGGCTTAGCACATGTCAATTTGAAAACATGTCCAGCCATGGTTGGGTAAGGGCTTTTGGTCAAACCAAACATGCCAAAAACATCCAAAGACGCCAACAATCAAGCAGGTGAATATCCATCTGTACTTCGTTTTTGCAGGACATTTATCTGCCAGGTTGCATGAAATTGATTGACACCAATTAGATCCAATCAGTCTATTTCGCTTGTAGGAGCACTAAGGTTTTGCTCTGTACCACTATGTGTTTTTAAATTTGTTGCACTATTCGCTGTATTCAATCTCAAAAGCACTGACAATCCGTTGCATTATGCCTTTCTCGCAAAGATGCGACAAGGACACTGTTCGTCTTCCCTGCGGCAGCGATGCAACAACAAATACAAAGATTTCTGTCAATATCTCTACTTAAGATATCTAGGGCATTGCATGCCGCAGAATCGTGGATGTATCTATTCCTTCAATTGCCTGCGTGCTTGCTGCGCCAAAACGGCTGGTTCCTCGTATCTGTTGTCCCTTTTGCAGTGATTTCCGAGAAAAGCAAAATGACGTGTAATCCACTCTCTGGTCGTGCAAAGACAAGCACTAGGTCACAGTGTATAATATGGGGAGAAGCATCAGGCTGGTCATTCTCATCCATGATTAACAAATTTCAGAAGCTCTCAGAAGCAAGTCCTACATTGACAAAGTTGCTTGCGAAGAGTCTGAGGGAGGGCACATAGAAACTTGATCTATCGAGAAGCAGTTATTTCATCTTGCTAATGTCTAGCAGTCTAACACTGTCGCAGTCAGAACAACATAAATGTGTGAAGAGTATATATATATACTAATACATAATATATATATATATTATACGAATAAGTATTATTGTACATATTTTTTGTATATCCATGCATACACTCTCTATATATATATATATTAGAGAGAGAGAGACGTACCGGTATATGTCATCTCTGGGTTGCATAGATTCACCCAAGTTGGGGTGCCTCTGCGCCGACATTAAGATCTCATCAGAATGGTCCAAGCGGAGCCTGGTCGTTTCGAATGGGCGAAGTTTGGTGAAGACATCTGTCAACTAGCAGCAAATCGATGCAAATCGACACATCATCAGAGTTCATCAAAAACTCATCCAGTTTCCTGTTCGTCTGCTCTAAGATTCCCGTGATCTATCACCAATACCACTGAAAGGCAATGACAAGCAGACAGTACCAGGATGTACCAGGTCACCACACTCATAGATGTGCCTTGGACCACCAGAAAGATCCTTTCAATGCAAACTACGGTAATAATCATTCAAAATATTCAAAATGGCTACAATGCCAAGGCACGGATATCCTCCATCTTCTGAGCGTTTCCGGTGCACCTGGGTGAAAAAGGAACGGCAACTGAGAAGTACAGGGCCTGCAACTGCTTGAGGTGTCCGCAATATATAAAATATATAAATCGCTAAGAGATGAGCTACAAATAGCTACAACATATGTAACATAACTCAAGAATTCTCAAAACATGTTCAAACCTGTCTGATCTTTGCATATCGGAGAGGGTAGCCTGCCTGGCAGAGGGTGTAGCAGTCCGTTGAGGTCAACCACTTTCGCTGTTTGAGGCTGGCATCCTCCAACAAGGCCTGAACAGGACATCTTTTAGCGATGTGATCCAGGGGGCCCAATGGGCCCAATGCTTTTGGTGGATGTTGATTCGATGATCCAAAATGATCCAACATGATGTTTGATCCAAAAACAAATTGCCAGAATCTGTTTCGGAAATTGACGAAACTGAGCATTTGGAGATGTTTGAATAACGTTTTACCCAAGAATTCAACACACCCGCTGGGGCTGATTCTGCTCCCAACATCTCCCAACATTTTACTCTTCCCCAGCTTTACGAGCGCCTTGGACAACACTTTCAAAGGTGTCTTGCAAATGGAGCGATGTGCCAGGTATCCTCCTGCCCCGCAAGTCATCCCAATACTCTGCTCGGATCAAAGATACTCTGTGATCTGGATAGATTGAGCATTTCAGCATAGCAGCCACAACTGTCAACCTCAACCTTTTTCTTTTGTTGAATTCTGAACCGCAGCTACACATCTTGGCGGTTTCCGGGTCCTTTCAGCAAGCGCACCGGTCCAGAACCATCAAGCCAGTCATCTGGCACCTCAAGTGTTGGGGCAGTGCAAATCAGAGGGCTTCCTGGGCCCAGCAATGACCAAATGGCATACCACTTGCATCACTGCCCAATGGATCCCTGAGGGCCACACTCCAGCAGTGCATAAGGACTCCCGCACACACCTCAAACGGATTTGCGACATTCCCGGCATTCCCAAGACCCACATCTCGCTGGGACATGCCATTGACCAACTCTCCATACCTGACCTCTAAATGACCTCCAAAGCAGATTTAAGAAGGATGATGAAGGATGTAAATCCAAAACATCCAACCAGCCATTGCGGCACCACTGGGCACCACACCAATATGCTGACCGCAGCATTTCTGCATCACCAATGGCCTCAGAGTCGTGCTGCCACAAGGGAATCCAGGGGCAGTTCGTAGCTAAGATCCGGACATGGCCAACCCCAAGCACCAAAGCAACCTGGGACCAAGACCAGCACTTTCAAAATCTCACAATTCTATACAATTCTGTGATATCCTGTGCTGGTGACAGTGCTACTGCTTTCTTTAAGCTTCGATTCATAGAAGCTAGGTATCAATAAAGGTGAGCCAATGCTCCGATGGTTCATTCAACATTTGTCTGAAACCTATGGGAGGAAATTTACACTGGAGGGAAAGAAATTGGGTGCAAAGAGACTCTGTTGTTCTGTTGGAAATGGAGTCCCAAGTGACTGTCAATCAGTATTTATAATCATCATTAATCATCATTAATCATCTATCAGATTCTATAATCATCTATCATAGTAGAGAATTATATAATCATGATACCGATACCTATATAATGTAATGTAACATGTTGTGACATGTACATCTATAATCCTCTGTAACATTTCATCAAATCAAACCATCTTTGGATTGAGGCCCCAACTGTAGATCGCTCCAGCTGCTGAAGAGCTATGTCCCGGCAAGCCTAGCAGCAGAAGAATGCAGCGGCCTATAACCTGTTGAACTGCTTTTGTTTTTTGCAGAAGAAATACAGTAGTGCCTAAACTATCCTAGACTTCTCTTTTTGACAATAGTTGACACAAAGATATGAATAAGACGTTCATATCTCAAACATCTGCAAGGTTTTGCAGCGGCCATCCTTGACCGTCCCGAAAAAGTCCGCCTCCAAGACTTCTGGAAGACCCAGGATGAAGGCCCACAGCAAAATGGTGAATAGCTGCGTCCCTGCCTGGTGATTCAAACTGTGTCCTCGAAAACTTGGCAACTTGGCACAGCTTCCCCGGTGCCGGGTTCATGCCACTCCATCGGGTCATGGAGTGTGCAACGGTAGGCAAAGTGGTTATATCATATCTACCGTATCATACCGTATCTACCAAAGAGAATGGCCTTCTTTCCACAACATCCCCGGGCTTCTTTTCTTGGTGGGAAAAAGACAAGTCCTTCTGCGACCATTCCCCTTTGCCTTGTGTCCACGTCCCTGCCTCTGGGATTCCTGGTTTCTAGCCATCCGCACAGAAGTCCCGACCACAATTTTCAAAAGCATCTTGGCGCCGGCTATACTTCACCAACCAAGATACTAATCCAGCAGCGGATACCACGCTTCTGACCGACATTGATCCCTTGGTAGCAACGGCAAACGGCCATTGTAGGTCTGCTCCGTGTATCCTATCGATGATACAACACCAAAATGGCAAGCCTTTTGCTCAACTGACGTATTCACTGTGTGACATAGCGAAAACATGTTTGAGTTGAGGAAGAACCGCAGTTTGCTCCACAAGAAGCACTTCTCGCAACAACCTCTTGCATCACATTGGTTGACACCTCCAACAGTGCCAAAAAACCTGCTCTGATAGACCTGCAGCTATATTGCTGGTAGCTGCTGGTGGGTTTTCCGCCACATCAACACATCAGCACCATGAAGTTTCCCACAGCTAGGTTTCAAGCCACTGGAGTGCTGAATTCAAGGCCTCGGCTGTGAGAGTCACCATCTCCCACATTGGCATGTTTTTTTCCAGGAAAGGGCAATGAAAATCAAGTGTGAAGAAAAGATAAGAAAAGAACGCTGAACGCAACAAATCCAGTTGTCACCTTTGAGTTCTTGTCACGCACAATCGCATCAAATGAATAAAGGCACTCCAGGCTATTTGAGTGGGGTGTGAAATCTTCCAGCTCAACGCGTCAACCTCGAACAGCTTAGGCTCCAACACTGCAGAAGGCTGGCTGGTGTGAGAAGATTCTGTCCTCAGTCGATAGCCAGAACTATTGCAATTGAGAGCGACAATCGTTTTACTTCAAGTGGGAATTAAAAACACGGGTCTCTTCGTGTCCTAAAGGCCAGTTCACATTGAAAGGGCAGCATAAGGCAAATGTGGTTTTCAAGGTGTCAATCTATGCTGGCCATCAAAGCAACCCAAAAAGACCAAGACGATTTAACACGGATCATTAGATATTTTGTGCTGCAGTACTTTCACCAGTCAAGACTTGCTACTGTATCCATAAAAACATACCAGTTTTGGTTGCCCCCAATTCTGGGTAGGTACAAACCCATTGATATACTCATTGATATTTGGTTGCGGGGCCATCACTGTTCCCCAGCGGCAGTCCTGCACCACGTGAAGGCATGGTCAGTTCGAGGCTACGCGTGGCCAACCTGTGTGCTATAAACGTCCGCGTGGAGATGCCCAAGCCATCTGTAGTCTGTTCATCTCTTACATGGTCATGACTCAGTCATGACTTATACCCAGAATTTTCCAAATAAAAAACCAACCAGTTCCCAAACCATCACATGTTTGAGCCCCAAGTGACGGGGGCATCCCACACCGGGTACCACAGCTACAAGCTCAGCCCCCAAACTTTCGGCAGTGCACACTGCCACCAAGAGAGTCAAGCCTGGGTTGCGAATGATTCGGATTCAGCCTGATGTGTTTTTTTTCCCTTCTGCGTTTTGACCATCTAGGAATATGATAATATGATTCGTAACAGGCCGATTTGACCATTTGTCAATTCCTTGGACTAGAGAACATGTTGAATCTGATGTCAAAAAACATCTCACCGCACCCGTGACATGAAGTATGCTGAGGATCCCAAACTGATCGCCATCGACCGGACCAAAAATCTCCTTTCCACACTTGCTACAAGATGGATCCCTGGTTTCAATCTCACCAGGCCGGACGGAATACCAAGAATTGCTGAACACGGCGCTCCTCAAAATCATCCTCTCCCAAGGCATGGCTCACAGTGAAGCCTTTCAGGCCCAAGATGCCAGGATCGGAAGACCCATTTCTCACCAAATATCCATCCACATTCAAACCAAGAAATGTGTCATAAAATGTCATATATATATAGATACAAATACAAACGTTGCATTGCAAAGATTACGTTCACAACAGCAGCAAGCATAACAATGCGCCCTGTGTTTGACTAATAGCGTTGGTGAAATATGTCGATACCACCACCCGTGTCCATTTGTGAATGGGCGAATGCAAAAAGGTCGTTTGACTTCATGGCATAGCACCCAAACCAATCAGACAGGAATGATGTGCCTTAACGTCAACACGTCCTCAGCTACTCTTCCAAAACACTGCACACTTGTGGAAACACTAACAAGTGTTGAATCTAACATGCTTCACATAAACTACCGAATCTTGCTTACGGAACAAAAAATTGGCGGTCGAAGCTGCTTCCGCCTTCGGCTCCATCGTGGCAACTTGATAGCCACGGGCTCCTCCAGACTGAAACGCAGCTGGCAGACCACTCGCCCAACTCGTAGGTCAAACGGGGGTAGGCGGAACAAACGACTTGCCTTTGCCTGCGCGTGACATCAAGTTATACAGAATACCACGCGGCGCAACAAAAAAACATCATACAGGATCATACAGGCATGTGCAGGCCATCAAGTTTCACTGCGCAGTCCTTCGCGCCAGCGTTTCTCGGACCGACGAAGCGATCGTCGTGGCACAAACGTTCATGGGTATCCTGTCGGCCGCTTCTCATCCGTTGGCGCTCCAACCCCCTGGGCGCATAAATGTAGCGGGCAAACGCCTATCCTGTGGCCAAACGGCTCAGAAACCACGTGGGCTCGTTGCCGCTGCCGTTTTCCTTTTCCAGCACGTTTGAATCTTTGCGCCAATCTGGCCACTGCGAGCGCCGAAGTTGCTGAAGCAACTCCCATAGACGGGCCCATGTGCCTCTCTATCCCTTTGCGCGAGAAAGAGAACAGTAACAACGGCAAGATCTCTGACTATGACCATATTCCGATGTCACGGATTGCAATGGCCAATGCAAGAATTCATGTCAATTATATAACGCCTCTCAAGTGGTGAGTAGACGCTAGCACGAAGGGAACAAAATGCTTCATTTGGGCGTTACCAAGGAATTGGGGGAATCATTGCCAGCAACAATCTTAATCTTAGACATGTACCAACCCAAGTTCAAGCTAGGTGAGTGTCTCCAATCAACTGCACAGTGGTCTTCTGATTCTGATCGGGCATTGCTTGATGAACAGCTGCCAATCAACAACAAGAAATGCATATAGATATAGATATAGATATATGTACCTGCATGTATGTACGTACGTACGTACGTAGGTAGGTAGGTAGGTATGTATGTATGCATGCATGTATGTATGTACGCATGTATCTATGTATCTATGTATCTGTGTATCTATGTATCTATGTATCTATGTATCTATGTATCTATGTATCTACGTATGTAACTATGTATGTATGTATGTATGAATGTATGAATGTATGAATGTATGAATGTATGAATGTATGAATGTATGAATGTATGTATGTGTGTGTATGTATGTGTGTGTATGTATGTGTGTGTGTATGTGTGTGTATATGTATATTTATAATAATAACAGTAATAATGGTAATAATAATAATAAATAATAATAAGTGTAGATACACTTGGCTCGTTCAAGGAGGGGTAGCAGCAAGGCAGTGTTTCAAATGGGGCCCGGAAAATGTGGTCTTTCGATGGATCAAATCTGTGTAACCCTTGTTTTAACCCATCAAATCTTTGGCCTTGATTTCCAGCGGATGTAGCCATGAATTCTGAAAGACGGTCCGTGAACCCCAAATTTTCATAGCAGCTAGTTCCGGCTATATGTTGGGTGCTTCTTGATATACATAATCCCCGCATGTTTCCCACCTATTCCCCATATGTTCCCACATACACTATGCATGTTGAGTGCTGCGGATATATATATATATATAAGTTTCCTGCCAGCACTTTTCCACGCTGCTGATTGATCTCTGTTGCTGCGGTGTCTATTCACCAAAAGCAGCATAAAATTCATCATCCTGTTGAAAGGAGACTGCCGTGAAAAGGGGATGGGACTCCAAAATGGGTGGGAGTCTTTGAGCGGCACCATGGATGTTTCGTTGAAAACTTACACGCAAGTTTCCTGCCAGCACTTTTCCACGCTGCTGATTGATCTCTGTTGCTGCGGTGTCTATTCACCAAAAGCAGCATAAAATTCATCCATCTTTTGCCACTCTTTCCCGTCTTCCTTTCAACAGGGCATACCAGGCTGAGCAAGGGATGCCACATTCAACAAAATGTTGTGCCTTCTGCAGTAGGTCTGGGAAGCCTGCAGCTGCAACTCGGATCATCTCCTTTGCTTGCTGGGGTAGGCGCTCCACATAGGTAACATAGAGCACCTCTTGAAGATAAATCTCCATGGTTTTGATTGTAGCCCAGCGGCCTCTGCGCCTCACCACCTCTGAATCTTCTGTTGAATTCAGGAGGTGAGAGGCTCCACCTGGTCGCAGTGAAGCGAGATCAAAAGGCTTAAGTCGGCCCATTGACCCTTCAGGAAGCTTCAGCACCTCATCAAATCACCAAAACGCTTTCGTAAGGTAGAGCCAGAGAGAGGCCACAACTTCGCTTTTGGGTCTGCTTTCGCAAAAGCCAAATCCAGCAACTCAACGATGTCAGTGGGATCGACCCTGGCTGCTTGATGCCTTGCATGCTTTCCTCTTGTCTTTGGTTCTTTTATCTTTAGGAGTGCATAACGAACACCAGGGGCCGAATCCCGTGGCAAAACCAAATCTTCTCGGGAAGCTTGCAGCACCTCACCAACTCTGAGTATTCCAGCCCACATCAAGCCAAAAATTGCAGCTTCCGTCAGCCACCCCCAAAGAATGGAGACTGCCATCATCGCCAGCAAAATGGAGGCTGGTAAGGCCGGATGATGAGAAAACGGTTCCTCAGATACCCAGGAATAAGCGAAATCCCAAGCAGCAACCAGTTGTTTTCTCACCTGAGGTCGCTCTGCTGCCACACTGTTTATGGTCTCTGCATAGATACCATAGGCCTTACCTGCTTGATACAGAGCACCGCCATACTGCACCAACCAGTAAGCCAAGCGTTCAGGATCTGCAGGCTTTTCTCTCAAAAGGTAAAGAAGTGAAATCCCCTTTTCTTGCCAGAGCCAAACCTGAAACTGTCTGAAAAGCTTCCGTCGCCTGCCTCTTGTTGCTTCAAGTGCTACACGGTCTCCTTTTGGCAGGATCCCAGCTCGCTCAGCTGCCCTACGCCGCTCGGCCACTGAGGCTGGTTCCATGGCTAAAACGCCCCAATGAAAGTCCAAACCTACATACCTAGGTGCAGGGCTGAGAAATAGACTACAGAAGCAAACAAGCCACAGAGAACGCACACGCCGAGCAAGCCGAGACAAAAAGAGCGTGCCAAGGACACCAAGGGTCAGCATCAAACAGAAAACCCAGCACACAAACAGGAGGTCTCGGCAAGTCCACAAAGAGACAAAACCCAGCCGTGGGCAAGATCACGAAAGACAAACATGAATCCACCAGGAGAGAGAAGGAAGTGCTCAAGCGGATCAATTGCGCCAGGAAAGCCATCGTAGACCCCACTCCAAAAGCCCCCAGGCAGTCCATAGGGGGGAGCATAAAACCCAAAACCGAAAGGGTTCGGCGTTCCACCATTTGAGCAGGCATCACTTCGGCTAAAGGTGAGGACCAAGACCAGCAAACGGACCCAATTTGCACCAACTCTCTTAAGGCCAACGCCATGCAACACCTGCAAATCCACTCCATCAACCTCACAAAAGCTACAGACCGCAGGTTCACGTAAGGGCTCTTCTCTGGTAGGATCATCTGCAACATTCAACCTGGTGGGACTGTAGAGCCAAACTGGGTACAAGTCATAACAGACCTGGATGACGCAGGCACGCTTCAGAAGTGGCTGTAAAAGCCTGGAAGTAGAACGACCTTTGGCTAGAGCACCTCTTGCCACGGAGGAGTCAACAAAAGCCAAGAACCTCGCATGTGCTCCTCTCTTGCCCGCTTCAAGCAAAACACGGACTGCAGAGGAAACCTCCAGAACATTGATGTGGGGAGCACGCTTCCAAAACCAAGAGGCAACTTCGCGCCAAGAAGAGGAGAGCATGACATCATTCGACAGAACAGATTCCAACCCAGCTAGACTCCACTCAGGCTCCTCTCTGTTTGCCTCTCGACGTAAGGCATTCTTGAAAGCAATGGCCAGATGAAGACCAAGCTCAGGCGTGTAGATTGCCGAATTCTTTGTGTACTTGCCCTGAATGCGAACATGAGTGTGGTCTCTAGAGCAACGCCTCTCAAGGTCAGCAATCTCCAGGAGATGAACCAAAAATCGAAACTCCTTTTGATGAGGGGACCCAAACATGCAAGCAGCAACCACAGCCTCTTCAAAATCACCAGACTCGACAAGAGAAATCCATTCAGACAACCAAGCCATCTTCGACCGTCTTGGCTGCTCCAAACCGCAAGGACGGCGGTACCTCCTCCCAACTCGCAAGAGCACCAAGGAACGAAAAGCAAGGCAGTTCCCATGGATGACCCTCGGATTTTCGCGACAAAATCCATAAGGCTCCTTGTACGACCGGAGACAGGGATATGCAGCAGGTGAGAAAGTTGTGCAAGGTGGCTCAAGCAAAAAGGACTTGAAACGACCCTCAGCTATCATGTGGATCACCCATTCCAAGAGCCTCTCATTCGTCAGGTCATAGTGCCGGGAAGCCGATAAATCCAGCGGCGGAGCTACAACAAGTCCAAGTCCAATCGCGGCTCCAGACACGGCACCAACGCCCCCACAGATCTCAACGAAATCAAAGTAGAGCAGGGGAGATGCTTTTGGCTTCACAAGAGGCAGAGGAGGAGGGTCACACTCGAAATCCTCCCCTAGGTGCCTGAGAATCTCTCTGGCTCCATTGTCAAGCAGAGAGTAGTGCCCACGCTTATCAGAGGCTAGCCAAAGATCCTCGCAGAGTCCACCACGTATCTCAGCTTCCACTACTGCTCCTTTCGCCAGTGACGCATCTGACGCAAAACAAGTCCCACTGTAGGAGACAGCTGCATTGGAGCTCATCAAAGGGGCCAGCACAGACAACACAACCAGCTCTTGGCTAAGGCTTCTGGGAAGAGGCAACACAGAGCCAGAATCTCCCTCATTAGCGGTGACCCCCAAGGCAAAAAGTCCATCAACAATCGAGCACAGACATCGCCGATACATCAAGACAGAAGTCCAATTTCCAACAAGGCGAGACACCAGACGAGGGGACAAACCCGGCAGGGCGGCAGCTCTAAGGGAAAGGGCTGACAGGGCTAACCTTTTTGCAACTGGGGCGGCAACAGAGACAAAACCAGACTTTACGGCATGCATATCTGAAATCACCTCTGCACCTGCTGCTTTGAAGTTTGTTGAGGCCTCTACATCCTTTTCAGCCGACCCCAAAAGACCCTGACTGTCATAGACCTCCCGGGCACACGCCAACGCTCGGGCAGCAGCACTGTGAAGAGGTGGCATTCGCAGGGGCTCACGACCAATGAAGAAATAATCATCAATGATCAGACCTGAGTAATGCGGCCCGGCTGGGAAAACATGCTTGCCTCTTATCTGCTCATCCTCGACAAGGAGTCCATTGGATTGCAGCAGGTCTGATGGGCGCAAAGAGCAAACTCAACACCCAAGTGGTCGCCCTGGAAAAGGGATGAGAAGGCCGGAAACAAAACCAGACCTTCTTTGCCAGCAGCTTTCTGACTCTTCTCAACACCAAGCAAGTCACCACGAACCTCTCGCCTGGCATCCTGTCCCTTTCGGAGACGTTCCTGAAACCTCTCAAGAGCTGCAAAACCACTCAATTCTTCCACAGGAAAGCAAAAAGGAAGCATGTTGGTTCGTGCCCTCTCCAGACTAACTTTCGCCTGGTGATAAAAGTCACGTCGGTCAGTGACTGAAGCTCGCAAGCACTGTCGGAACCTCTCAACCCGCAACTGCACTAGGAGAGGCCCTGATGGGAGAAACTGTGAAGGGCCATCAAAAGCAAGCTCTGACATGTTCACCCGACGACGATCACCAATCTGCCTGTCAACTGTCGGCCCCTTGAAGCAATTGAAAACCCTGCTGAACAAGCCATCATCAGAAGGCCCATCAAAAAGCTCAAGCAGACCTCTTGAATCCCAAACCTTCATCAGCTTAAAGCATTCATGCCGTGACTCATGAGCAAAATTTGGCGCACAAGTTTCATCCACATCAAGTCCATGCTGCAAAACCGCAGGTTCAACAAAAGGAAGCCAAAGGGAACCCTCCAGGAAATCACTCATGGGCCAACGACCTTCACCGACAAGACGAAGACGGTCAGCATCCAAGGCTCTATAAGGAGTAAGCTCAGGGTACTCCTCATTTGGAAAAAGAGCTTGATTCTCAGAAAATCCAATTGGCTTATCGAGGTATGAGTTTTGCAGCTCAGGACAGCCGGCAAAGAAACGCTCCAACTGATACAAACATGCACCTAATTCAGGTCCGGATCTCCCAGGGGCCAAACTGAAGAGCTCATTGGAAGATCCACACACTGCAAGCGAGGCCCTCAAATTCGAGATAATCTTCTCTTGGGAACACGAAGGCTTTCGACCAAGCTCGTCTAAGGTAGGGAAGCGACCAAGATACAAATAGTTCAAAGTAAAAATGGTCACATGCAGCAGCTGCGCTCTGCAAAGCTTCACAAGCCTCCTCCTTGACAACCTGGCATAACCCTTTCCAATGCACGATGGAAGCCGAGGCAATGGCAAAGGGAAAGCAGTGGTAGACAGTGTCATCGACTGTCGCGTGGAAAAACAAAAGGAGCGTCGAAGATGCCAAGCAAATTTTGTCTTCGACCTTGCAATCCACCTCGGCAAACAAATGGCCCAGGTGTTGAAACTGATAGAACTCCGCAAAGGGTTTGACTCCGGCCCCTCAACGGATGGAACTGCGCTCTTGCTCTCAGCAGCTGACTTTTGCCTCTGCCTCATTCCTCCTCTGCTTCTGCTTGTTGCTGATGCCCTCCTCCTCGACCTTGACCTCTCCCCTTCCTCTTGGGAAAAGGCTTTGCCTTGGGCGCTCCCTCCTGCTGGGTTGAAGCTCTTGGGCCCTGATTGGTGAGTTCCTGCCTCTTGGAATTGATCAGGTCCAATTCTTTCACATAAGCGAGAGCCACTGTCACCCAGCGTTGATCCGCTAAGGGAGTGAAGGATCTGGATCGGCTCAGGACTCCCTGGTGGCGGTTCACATAAATCGAAGAGGGAAGGTCCTCCTGCAACGTCAAGAGAGCCGCCAGATCGAATCTGCCTCCGTCCAACACCGCCTGATCTATGCAGACTGCCAACAAACCCAGAGTGTCCTTGGCAGCTTCCAGATTTCCCACCTGCAGGTAGTCCATGGCTCCCATCACCTGGAAAAGAATCAATCCCAGATCCCGGTGCCTTCCGTAGCCTCCGAAACGTTCCATGTAAAGCGTTCCACTGATGCCCCTCCGATGAAGCTCTTCCAATGAGACCGTAGCAGACTGAGTCGGCTGCATCCTTCGTGCCATTGCCCTCATCACTGCCGCATAGAACTGGCCCGAATGGGAGGCTAGCTCTGTTTGGAGGCGAGCTCGCCCCAAAGCGCCCCTGGTACCCGTACTCGCTGAAGAAGCCCCCAAATCCACCAAGGGGTCCTGACTTGAATGGGCTATCTGCCCCACAAGCGCTGTCAAAGCTTGGGACTGGGCATATACTGCCTTCGCCAAGTCCCCATCCGGAGGACCTGGCAAATCCTTCTCCGCCTCCAAAGCAAGCAAGTCCGGTGGCTGAAAGTTTTGCACATTCGATGAACCAAGGCCCCCAAGATTCTTTGTCCTTGGAGGAGGGGCAGACACAACATCCGCCACCGATGAAGCCCCTGCCACATGTGGAGTTATAGTGCTGGAAAGCGGCTGGGCAAGTCCAAGCGCCCCTGCACGCGAAGGAGCCACTATCCTGTTCTCCAGCTGAACTTGACGCTGCGAAAGGTCTTGAAGCTGATCCGAAAGACGAGGAACAACCTGAAGCAACTGATCCAGAGACATGGCAAGGTCTGCTGTGGTCAACTTCTTTGGACGACCTGAGGGACCTCCGCCTCCAGTAGGAGTGGCGCCTGCCTTTGGCAACCGCCTCGACCGCTTTGGAGCAGCAGCCCTGGGAGATCTGATCGCTTCGTCGATCTCCGTCTCTGACTGGCCTTCGGCTGAGTAAAAGTTCAGGCCTGTTTCCTCTCCGGCTCCTCTGATCCAATCTCTGGCTCCCTGCAACAACTCCACGGGTGAAGGAAGAGTGAAAGGAGATTCTGGGTCGAAAGCCATAGCGATGTCCTCGGCCAAATTTGTAGCCCTCATTTGCGAGACCAGATCTGCCGCTACGTCCACCACTAAAACTTCGAGCAATGAACCCGTGGAAGATCTGATTCCATTTTCCACTATGACCCCAGGGACCACCAGAGATGTGGAAGCGCCTATAGACCCCGCATCTTGACCTGCATTCGCTCTTTCCAGAATGGACGCTGGAATGAAAAGAGGAGGAACAGCCAAAAGAAGTCCGCCCTGACGCTTCATGACAACCAAAACCACAGCTTCCAGTGCTCCATCGGTATCTGGGACAGCGGGCCATTCCAAAACGTAAGGCTCTAAATCCAGATCGACAGTCACCAAAGACCTGAGAGACAGGACATCGTCGGCCGTCAAATCCAAGGCCATTTCTGCAAGTCCTAGGGCAAGACCCTAATGTCGGCTTCAAGGAACCCGGCAGCCTGGAGGTAAACTCGTGATTCAGCTTCACTGGGAAAGGACTGGGAGATTGATGTGCTGTTGTCCAAGGAGCCGATGGCACGCCAGTAAGACGAGGAAGACTTGAACACCACAGGACAATCAACACCGTCCGCACGAACCACCGCGTAAAACCTCGACCGCAAGTCGATCGGAGGGGTCCGGTTCGGGCTGTGCACCCGGGAGTCCAAGACGGCTTTTGCCCACAAACCAGCAGTCCAAGCACGACAGACACGGTCGCGGCCAGACAAGGAGGAGCCAATAAGTCGTACACCGACAGCCAAATGACGGTCAGGGCAACGGGCAAAAGTTGAAGCGATCTGATCCCTGGTCTCAAGTCCAAGTCCAACCCGGGAACCAGAGGCAGGAACGCTGGGAGTCTCAGACACAACCTCGAAGGAACCAACAGAAGCAGTAGGGCGCACACGATCAGACGGAAATCCAGCAAGGTATTGGAGGAAATCAGCCACCCGAGAAGGGGCACCAACCACAGTAACCCGAAGGCCAGGCAAGTCCACGGAAGCCTCAGTTTCGCCGTCGTGGCTGTTGCTCATGCAGGTATTCCAACAAAGCAGAGCGGGCCCTCCCAGACGGAGGAGATGACAGACGAGAAGCAGATGGCACAGGGGTGGACGAGGCGGAGGTAAAGACAGGGACAAAGTCAAACCTGTAGAGCAACCAAGCGCAAAGTCCAACACCCAACACCAAACCAAGTAAGAACGAAGCAGCAAGGGCACCCACACTAGGAGATGTGCAATAGAACGGACAGCCCAAACCAAACAGGTTAGTTCTCAGCCCTTGCACCACCAACCCTAGAGTGGACCCTGCTTCGAGCATAGAGTCTTTGAGCGGCACCATGGATGTTTTGTTGAAAACTTACACGCATATATATATATATATATACTGTATATATATATATACTGTATATATATGTGTGTGTGTGTGTGCACGTGCTGTATGTGAATAATTCACCTCCTGATATCGTACGCGAGCGACTTCCTCGCCCCAGGAAGTTAAGAGGAGAATGTTGTCTTGCAGAAGGCATACGGATTCCATCGATCGACAAATTCCGCGTTTAACAAAAAAATGTTTTTTAGAAAACACTGTGAACCAGACCGAATTCTTCAGCCGATCATTAGCAAAATAAGTGACGGAAAATAAGTCCTTCAACCAACACAAACACTCCCTGGAACTCTTGTATTTTGAATTGTTTTTTTCTGTGCAGTGACATTGTTCTTCTGGCGCCATGTCTCCCAGCGCGGTACTTCTTTACCCTCAGCCAATATCTGTGCAAGCGAGGCGGGCAGACTGCTTTCCCTCAGCCGAGGACCAAACCTGTTCATCGAGTCACACAAGAATCATCAGATACCCTCTAAATCCGTCTGACACATAAGTTTTGTCACATAAATCTGACAAAAGAATACAAAAGAATCCGCCGGCCTGCCGGCATGTTTTGTGGATGTTCTTCTAATACATCTTTAGCTCAACTAGAGCTTAGGCTAATGTTCCTCTTCCTTGGCCGTCTCACATCTTCTCCTCAACAAGACTGCTGCACCTTTTCGGTCGCAAACAAAGATCATCGTCTGCCCATACAATGGATCTTACCCTGACCCTTCCAGCCAGCTCGTTTCTTCCAGTCAAAACCAGACATCCAGCAATGCCCCAAATCTCCTCAAATGATAAGCATCCCTTCCTAAACCCTCAGATTCCGTACTTTCCGCCAAACCGCCAGAGGGCCGGCGGAATGCCGAAGGCTGCTAAATATTAAATCACAGTGAGATGTTCATGGGCTCAGCATGGGTCATCTTTCAGGGTCATCTTTCAGGACTTCGCATGCTGGAAGCTGCTCTCGGGGGACAATTTGATGCACCTCGAAGCTGAGATTGGCATCCTCTCTTCGCTGGTGAATCTTTAAAAGGACCTGTGCAAATCACCAGCGAAAGCCATGGCTGATGCCAGATATGTCATACTCACCATGCCACATTTGATAAATAGTCTCGTGCAAAACCTGTCCGTTGCAGCCATGAGAGTTGAAAGGTTGAAAAGCACCCTTGTCCTGTCTCGTATTTTATTTTTTCGACAAGTTGAAACACCCTACTAGACGTCAATCCAATCGTAAAGCATGTGTATAGCTGTATAGATCTTCAAAACTGTTGGCATGTCCCAACAAATTAGAGACCGTACCCGCCTTCCCTTCGGCACTTTCAGAACTGCAGTTCTCAAGACGGGGAAAGGCACTCCGCACCTCAGCAACCAAAACGAGAATTGTTTGGCTCGACTTCTGCTTTTGAACGTGGCCAGCATCATCGTGTCATCATTGTCACCAGAATGTCATCACCTTCTCCTTGATCCTTTCCGTCGTTTTATTCATGCAAATGTCGTTGATTGGGATGATACTAGTGCAAATGTCAGGCTAGACGGTTCCATACCTAGTACTTGAGCCCAACATAGACGACTGAGCACATGGCATCTCCGTCTTCGTCCTCTGCGACGTAGCCCTTGGTGTTTCAGAACTCATGAATGGGTCCAGAAAACGCGCAAAGGTGATTTTGCAGGATGGAATGATTGGGACGTGAAGTCGTGAAGTCATGGCGAAAGCTTGTGGTAAATCGCGGAGGTCCCGTTGGTTGACTGGCGATGTTGGAATCCAAGCCACAGCACTCATGGCACATCGCAACTTTTGGCCGATCAGCGTGGGAGGCCATCCAGAACACTTGCTGTCAGTGCAGGGTGTGTGTATATATACGTGCTATAGATATAGTGTGTACAACGTGTATAATATGTATATTGTACATATTATCATAATATGTGTACATGTATATATATATATATATGTTACATGTTTGTGTTATCTATACATACACACATCATATATTGTGTCTTATTATGTACTATGATGTGTGAATCCGTAGTATTGTACAAAAAGTCAGCGCGGAGGTATACACAGAAAGATGCACAACCAACATCCCATGGCTTACAGGAGATGATGACTGTTGTTCTGGTAAGCGTGTAGTCTTGCACTTCTTCATCACATTGGTTGTGGGTCTTGATCCACAAAGCTGAGGAAGGCAGCTGGCATAGGCCCTTGGAGTCCATAACGAAAATACTTTTTCGGAGAGCGAGTCTTTGGTGCCCCACTGAAACAGCATGTCCTTTCATGTTCTAAACAGGATATTGATATTAATTACATTCCTCAATTCTTGGCGAGCAATTCAGCCACTAGATGTGCTAAACCAAGTCTGATCCAGGTCACGGAAAGCCCCTGAGACAAGACCACAGGGACCACAAGCCGCCAAGCAAAGCGCACCCGAGGGCGAAGGCAAGGGAAAAAACGCTGTACGACCTTGCCACTGAGACAGACGTCCTGCAAGGCACTGCACGGCATGAGAAGCATAGGAAAAAAACATAAGGGGTTCAACCATCAAAAGTGGGAACTCCGGCTTCCAAGGGTGGGTGTCTTTGAACTACCAAATAAATTTGAACCACACAAGTTTGGATTCTAAACGAAGACGTGGAATTTCAACCAATATGAAAATTACTCGCCCTCGTGCCACCAGAAAGGGGGACGCAGTGTGCCCAGTGCCAAAGAGGCTTCCAAAAAGTTGGGATCAAATCTGAACTTCACGTGCGCATCAAAATCATCAAACCTGACAACTGCAAACAGCATCCTCACCCCGGAAGAGAACTCGACGGTGCAACCTTGACATGCGTGGCGTGTGGTCCGATGCTACCAGTGTTCGCAGGAGTGTGTTCGTCTCGTACTGGTTTCTACTACTCTTGAAGCTCATGTTTGCACTCAAGAAAATATGAAAGTAACAAAGTGTCAAAAAAGAAGACCAAACACCCGGTTTTGATTGATGTCAAATTGTCTCCGAGTAACCTGGAAACCACTAAACCATATTGCACCTATGAGACCTATCCCCTCACTAACGAACCTCTACCAGCGTCTGCTGGAACACTGTCAGTGCAAACTGCCTTCACTCCAGTTTCACCCATCCATTTGTTGCAGAATATGAGGTATCTTTTCAAGCCTTGCATCCTTGATTCGTTGTTTCCTCACTTTCCTTGCTGTTTGCTTCTTTTCCGTGGCATGAGCACCAACACCTTTCATCAGATTGGGGTCTCGGACAAGTCTTGTAACCTCAGTCCGAGAAGACCCCGGCGGAGACATGCAGATGTAGCACAGTTCTTGGGCTACAAGAGTTTTGCTGACATCAATCTCTCCAGGACACGCTTTCTGCTAAGCTTTGGATGCTGAGAGTGCCGATTTTGTGCATCTCGAGTTCCACACTTTCTATATCTTTCTACCAGCATCTACAAGGTATGTAAACATGAGAGGAAGCAAGTCTGCCACCAACACGACACAACATGTTTCCGCCTTCTTGGGGCTTGGCATTGGGACTGACAAAAGTCAGTATATCTGAAACCTTCAAACATATGTTCGCTGCTTCTTGGGCCCCAACCATTGTGGGCTCGGCCGCCTAAAGCTTCAAAAATGGAAATACGCCATCGTGGCCCTCTGGTGTCGGAGACTTGGAAGCGGATCCACCATTTTGACAGGGAAAATTGTTTCCCGTTTCTGCATGAGTTCCCTGGACAATTGAAGGTCTTTATACACATGTATATAGCCGATACACTACATGTCCTGGCTGCACCTGAATTTGGGCCCACTGGTGAAGGATGTCCTTCCTCCTTGTCACTCGTATTGCCAAAAAACGAGAATCACACGCCCAGGAGCCCAAGCCTATGACAGACCAGGTTTCAACACGTTCAGGCTATTGGGTGCCCCCCACTTTTGTTGTGCAAGAAATTTCCGGCCACAGTTCGCTGCTGATCTTGAGGTCTGCACCCCAAATGTGGTTTTCGACCATGACAGTTACCTGATCACCCAACAAATGAAAGTCTGTGGGGGACTGCTGCAGATCTGTTGCCATTCCACCCGCCTGACACGACATACGTGACAGGAGATATGTGAGATTAATTGAGATCATATGGTTGCACTAATTGGGTCTACTGAGTCTACTATCCGCTCAGAATAATCTGTAATGTATGTGCACTGTGTTACATATGATACATTCATACATATACACGTACATGCATGCATGTATGAAGTATATACATGTTTACATATTTACATATACCCACATATAAAATAGTGTGTGTGTATGTATGTATGTATGTATGTATGTATGTATGTATGTATGTATGTATGTATGTATGTATGGATGGATGGATGGATGGATGGATGCATGGATGCATGGATGCATGGATGCATGGATGCATGGATGCATGGATGCATGGATGCATGTATGCATGTATGCATGTATGCATGTATGTGTGTATGTATATAAATATATATATATATATATCATCTATTGACATGCAGAGGGAGAAGCTGAGAGCCAAAGCCGGGTTTCCAACGTTCTCGCCTGGGTAGCCGTTGCCAGGAGATCGACGCCTTCTGGCACTCGGCCTTGTCAGCGAAGCATGGATGGTAATAATCAACAGTAGCATGAAATGGCAATGGGTGTGTTAATATTATTTAGGTATTTAGACAGATAGAAAGATAGATAGGTAGGGAGAGAGAGAGAGAGAGAGATAGATAGATAGATAGATATGTAGATAGGTAGCTAGGTAGCTAGGTAGCTAGGTAGCTAGGTAGCTAGCTAGATAGCTAGATAGCTAGATAGCTAGGTAGCTAGATAGCTAGATAGCTAGATAGATAACTGATAGCTAGATAGCTAGATAGCTAGATAGCTAGATAGCTAGATAGCTAGATAGCTAGATAGCTAGATAGATAACTAGATAGCTAGATAGCTAGATAGCTAGATAGCTAGGTTAGGTAGATAGGTAATGATAGGTAGATAGGTAGATAGGTAGATAGGTAGATAGGTAGATAGGTGGATAGGTCGATAGGTAGATAGGTAGATAGGTGGATAGGTCGATAGGTCGATAGGTCGATAGGTCGATAGGTCGACAGGTCGACAGGTCGACAGGTCGACAGGTCGATAGGTCGGTCGATCGATCGATAGATAGAAAGATAGATGGATGGATAGATAGATAGATAGATAGAGATGACCTACTGTAACTATGATACTTATCTACTGTATATGAGAAAGGTGTGTTACCAATTAGCTGTAATGATACACTAAGATCAGATATAGATAGTATTTGTCATGTGACACATATCAAGTCCATGCAACATCACGAAACATCACGAAACTGCCGAAACTGCCTGGTGATAGTACCCTTTAGTCATAATCCGTTGATATCAGCTGGCTGGTGTTATGAATTCACCCTTTCCCTGTCCATACCGGACCAACCGCCTCTTTTCTTTCACCTGCAGCAGTTGGGCTTGACACTCAAGCGGTCATCCCTGAATCACTGTAATCACTGGCCAGAGTCTTCGCAACCAGGAGATATAGATGTATAGACGTAGATATCGACGGATATTCAGATACCGATATCCATATCGATACATATAAAACATATATTATCATATGCGCATATATGCAAAGGTGAGTCTACGTATCTAGAATTTCGTTTCAAACAGTGCACTGTTTGAGGTTCCACGTTCACCATTGAGAAACCTACTTGGTGAATTTACTCCTCCAGGCACCTCGGGCTCTGCACCCAATGTGGCAGCAAAGGCAGCAGGCCTGGAGCAATTTTCAACAGGTCATGCTGCCTACTAGCAGTCTACCCTGCCCAATCTTTGCTGGCATGCTCTTTAGCTACTGGTAGCTGTCACAAGAGGCCCTGTGTTTTGATTCCGTAGACAGTCTCCTTGCCTCACTGCTAAGCAGAATTGCGGCGAATCCTGATCGCTTCAGGCCCTCAGCACCCATGCTGGTTAACCAAAAACTATCTCGTGGGGTACCCAAAACGCAGTGTTTTCTATGGAAAACATGTGAAAATGACAAAACTCACCAAGATTTTGATCTATACCTACATCATATTTTTCAATGGGTCTCAATCCACGGGTCCTTGTCATCAGATTCATCTTCACTATCTGTACTGAAGGCATCAGCCTGGTGGGCGATTCCAAGCACTGCGAAGGCATCTACGGCTGTTTGCAGACTGCATGGTAACGAAGGAGGAAGGTGTGCACTCCAAATCTTGAGACACCAAGTTCCCAATGCAGCCCCTGCAGCCCGAACCATGGCCTGTTCCCCAAGAAGAACCTGCGGCGAATTCATCGCGAGCAAAAACACATTTCAGGCTGCGATCCAAGATGCCTCTGCTCGTCGAGTCCAGAAGCTTTGCCCGACCTGGACGGTTGGTTCGCAGATTGACCCATCAAACCAACAGGAGCGCCTGTCGCCGCTTCTGAGTTCAAGAAGTAAAAGGAAATACCATGAAATATCCATTAGATATCCATGAGATCCCACACGCAATGCCCCTGCCTCAGGTGTGCACTCAGAGGACGATGGCAAATTATCCATCTGCGTGCGGGGTCTGCTCAATCCACTGATTCAAGCTATATTCTTGGGTAATGTCAGGACCTTGAGATAAGCAAGTTCAGTTCCGGCATTCCCTAGCTGCCAGAACAAGAATGACTCTGGGTGGCAAAGTTGTAGTGAGGGTGCGGGCTTATTTTGGAGTTCTGTTTCATTCAGAGAAAATCTGTATTTAGCAAACAACAACAACAACAACAACAACAACAACAACAACAAGGTACAAACAAACACTGGGACCCCGTCCTCACTATATATCTCATTCTGTTTCTACCCTTAGGGTACAAACAAAAACTGGGACCCCGTCGTTGTTATTTGGGGGGGCCCAACAACAACCACACATACCTTCCAGTTCCCTACTGCTGGACCCCTTTTTGTGCCGTCAGCGGCCTGGATCCTTCAAAAAGGGGTCCCCCGCAACCTGACCTCAAACTTCGACCTTTTCCTGCTGCTGGACCCCTTTTTGTGCCGTCAGCGGCCTGGATCCTCCAAAAAGGGGTCCTGTGACCTGGCTTCAGACTTGCTTCCGGAGCCACCTTTTCAGTAGCCTTGCCACACAGAGACGCTGTACCTGTATTAGCTCTCTCTGTTCCTTCTCTGCGTGTGTGGAAGCTCCCAAATCGCAGCATGACTTGTGTGTGTGCGTGCGCGCAAGTGCATGTGCAATAGAAGGGCCGAGGGCGTAGCAGCACGCGCGCGAGTGCAAGACAAGATCTTTGAGCGTAGTATGGCGTGTGTGTCCAAAACCTAAAAATCACAAAGTACAGAAGCAAGAGCATACCACGAAGTCTTGAACATTAAATTGCATCCCTCCAAGTAGGTACTATGAAAACGATGAAAAATGACAACCTTACAACTGGATAACTGATAAAACTGCATATATGGAACTGCCTTGAACAATCAAAAGAAAGTATTGCATAGAAATGCTGACCATCTTTTCAAAGCAACGTGTTGAAAATACTCGGAAAAGGTGTCCGGAAGCAGGTTTGAAGCCAGGTCACAGGACCCCTTTTTGGAGGATCCAGACCGCTGACGGCACATAAAGGGGCCCAGCAGAAGCCTAAAGTCAGGTTGCGCGGGGCCCGTTTTTGGAGGGCAAAGAAAGCAAGCCAGGAAAGGAAGCAAGCCAATTTCCCAGAACAAGGGCGGGACTCAAGTTCAGCGGAAAACATTTTTGGTCCAGCAGCTAGAAAATGAAACGTCGGACCATGGAAATCCAAAATAGAGGCTGCCAGACCCCTTTTTGATAGATTTGGGCTGTTGGAGCCCCAAAAAAGGGGTCCAGCAACCAGAAAAATCATAATGATCCAAAGCGACCCTGTTGGGCCCCTTTTTGCAAGATTTCGGCTGCTGAGCGGTCAAAAAGGAGTCCAGGAAGCTTCAGCCTAATTAAAAAAAGGAGCCAAAAGTCTATACCAAAGTTCTTTTTCAAAACGGTGGAAAACCCCATGGACGCCCTTAAGGAACACCAAGCAAATTCCAAAATAAGCTCGGGTAGCTTGTTTTGAGGGCCCCAGTCTTTGTTTGTACCACCACCACCACCACCAGCAACAACAGCAGCAGCAACAACAACAACAACAAGAAGAACAAGACTAAGAACAAGAACAAGAACAACAAGCAGTGATAGAGTATCCTTCAAGGGTCAAAGCAGCTCGCCATGGTGTGTCTTTGCAACACGCTAGACGGGTTGAAAATCAGGAGCAAAATCAAACAGGCATGACTTCTACAACTCCACATTGTAAGTCAACTACTGTCACCGCTATTGAAAGCCATACGCTCTATGCAAAAGCAAACTTTTGTTTAACACCCAGGCATCCCTCTTGCGAGTTAGCTGAGGAGTCTCACCATGCGACACAGGATGGGAACTCATTTCCGATTGAAAGTCTGCTGACTTTTGTCCGTCTCATGGTGAGGTGTCAGCACGTCCCACTTCCCCTTCAGGGATGAAGGTGCTGGTTTGAACACCGCACGTGTTCGGGCTAAGCTCTCAACTCTGCCGGCTACGCCATGTTCGGCTGTCAATGCTCAAACTGAACTCCTCCGTGGGGGTGCGGCTTTCGCGACTCTGTTGGCCTTGGCAGAAACAATCAAGGAATTGCCATGAGGCGCGGGCTCAACAGCTTGGAGCACGCTGTATTCTGAGGCAATTCTCCTTTCTTGCAGTTTGGAAGTGGAAGATATGGAGTTTTTACCTGTCATTCTCCATCCTTCAATGACCAGAGATTGCACTAGCGCCGAGGAAGCAGCTGGTCATCAATCGACGAGGACGATTCTTGCGAGCTGAATCTGCCTAGTGCTGTCTTCGCTCAAAGAACAGATGAATCAATTTTCTGAGTTATTCCAAAGGGCTTCTTGGGCACACATGAAGCAATCATTTCTTTCGTGGTTTGAGAAATGCGGTTCGGTGGAACACCTGTTCATACGATGGATTCAATTTAAACTTAGCTGTGCTCTTTGCTGATCTTTGCTGCACAGCCATACATGTTCAAATCTTCAATCTAAAACAGCCTCCAAACATCTTCCAAGTGAGAGCAAAAATCGAATGGGCCAGGCACTGGAATCGCTGGAGCCAATGGCATAGTTGCTGCTCTCCTCGTGGCAGATGCCTGGAGATCAAAACGCAATGCAACAGATTTCAGAGAGGCTGAGTATGCACTGTTGAGCCAAAGCACTTACAGGAACAAAACAGGCCACTAGTCAGAGTCCTCACATCTATGCATGTCCAACTTGGTCCAACTCCAGTGAGTAACTAACTGAGTGGGCTGGAAACCGTGGTTCAGCAACTCCATCATTTAACCTTACCCCGTCGCAATCTACCATGGCAACGGAAAATCACCCATTTGTATCCATTTGTTGATTTTCTCAAAAGTTTACCTGCAAGAAAGGGGATTATCTATCTAGCCATGCTTGCTTTTTCTGGAAAATATCCGACCTTTGCATCAGCATTTCCTAGCTCAGCAAAAGAAAGCCCTGGCCTCAGCTGAAGAATCACTTCCCCGCTGCGGCCGTGGATTGGCTGGGGATGGTGACTTTGGCGTCATGGCACCTGCATGGCATGCAGCAGGACAGGTAGATACCGTCTCTCCAAAGGAGCAAACTTCATGCACTGGATGGTTGATACTCCGAATCGTTGAATATATGCAATAACCATTATGTATATATAAATATATATATAATAGTATAATATCATATGACAAAGCATTGTATAACACAATGCAATACAATGCAATGCAATGCAATACATTACAATACAATGAAATGCAATTCAATACAATACAATGTATATTTATATGCACTCCGAATTATTGCAACCAAATTATTGTAATGGAATAAAGTATCATAAAATATGATACAATATTACAATAGTTTCATTTCATAATTTCATATTATATATATATATTATTATTATTATTATATATATATATATTATTATTATTATTATTTTATATATATATATATATTATTATATATATATACACATACAGTAATATATTTCATATTCCCATCCAAAACGCCCAGCCTTTCTCAAGACCTTTGGCCAAGGCAAAGCCCTTCTGCCAATGACGCTTCGCAATGCTGCGGCTCTGACCTGGCACCAGCACATGGTCATTCGCTGGGAATGGATACACCCTAAATCCATCATCCAAAATATCATAGTGAATACTGAATTGTATATTTAAAAAAAAAAACTGTTGGAAAAACATTCTACATACTTCTATTAGTTATTAGTTATTAGTCACTTTTTTCAGCCATCCAAAAATTCACAGAAAAAAACAGACAGTACCGAGTCACCCTGGTCACGAGGCGTCACCAAGGGCTCGCGCACAACGGCGCCCTGCGATGCCGCCTGAAAAGTTGGGCGTTTTAGCCAAAAGAGTGAGGAAGTACATGGAAGTACCAAAAAAGCATCAAGAAGAATGCAAAAATATGCTAAATAAATAGATGGTTAGATGGGGAACAACAAAAATTGGAAACCCCTCCCCCAAATCTGGTCGATTAGAGACGCGAATAGCGTTGGAAGCCCCTAACTTTCGGACATTCGAGCAAGGCTTGCAGAATTCCCACCTTGGATTTTGCCTCCTTCACCGCCCGGCGTTCGTTCATGGTGACCTGCATGGTGTGGGATATTTGTGGCCACCAGTGCTCTGTGGTGACTGAACTTTGGGCCTCTGTGCAGCAGTTCTGGAAGACCCGGGAATTGGAACCTCAGCCAGCCATCCACTTGTGATCAAGAGTAAACGAAGAAACTGTGTCTCTTCCAAAAACACATTCCTGGCTAGTTGGAAGTTGTTTCTTTGAGGGGATGTTGTCGATGAACCCCTGTAACAGCAACTTTGAATCAAATAGCCCTGGAATACCGCAGCCAGGTGCCCTCGCTAATTGCAAGGGCAAATGGATTAAATAGGAAGCTCAAGCATGCTCTAATTACTCTACTTAACATATCTTAACATGTTGTAACTCAGAACCTACAGTCACATGAAACCACTAAAACAGGTACGTTCAACGACCGTCCACCACTGGGTGACCCCGGCTGAGAATGATTCGAGGCCTCCGTCGAAACTGCTCCTCAGGAGATGGTTCTGCCTTCCTGCGGCAAAAGATGCACGGCGAGGAAGGGAGCTGAACATCAATGCTTTTAAATGTCCATATCTTAGTCTCACACATGTATATCTATATATACTATATATATATTGTACCAAAGATATAACAAACAAATATATTATTTCTCTTTAAACAAAAAATGTATAGATATAGATTATACTATGTGTATCTATATATATATATATATTTATATATATATATTAATATTATTATTATTATTTATTATTATTATCATTATTTTATTATTATTATTATTTATCATTATTATCATTATTATCATATATTATTATATATTATTATATATTATTATATATTATTATATATTATTATATATTATTATATATTATTATATATTATTATATATTATTATATATTATTATATATTATTATATATTATTATATATTATTATATATTATTATATATTGTTATATATTATTATATATTATTATATATTATTATATATTATTATATATTATTATATATTATTATATATTATTATATATTATTATATATTATTATATATTATTATATATTTTTATATATTATTATATATTATTATATATTATTATATATTATTATATATTATTATATATTATTATATATTATTATATATTATTATATATTATATATTATTATATATTATTATATATTATTATATATTATTATATATTATTATATATTATTATATATTATTATATATTATTATATATTATATATAGTGATATACTAGGATTCCGGAAGCACCGGGATTCCAAGTATCTTCCATCGGCCTGGGAGTCGCCGGCGGTCTGGGACTTGGCATCTCAATGGCGACCTCCGGTAGCTTTCCATCATCCATCATCTTAGGATAAGAATTACGGATATAGTGATATCATCCAGCATTATCATTAGGATATATAGTACTGTAATGTATTGTATACATTAGGATAGATGATTTGCTGATGCTTTACCATCACTATATATATATATATCACTATATATCCATCGTGTACCATGTATAGTATGAGTACCATGATCCACAATCATCCACTATCATCCACTATCTTCCACCATCCTCCACCATCCATTTCTATCCGCTGAGGAGTCACTTTTGCGCTTTCGTTGAACGGCTGCATCTGAGTTGATGACAGGTTCTGGTGCTTCAAGAGGGCTTGGGCCTTCACACCAAGCCGCCCAGATCCACAAAGCACTTGAGAGATATCAAAGAGTTTGAAGCGAATGCTGCTATCAAGAATACACCAACCCCACACATCATCTGCGAAGTCCACATCAAGCCTGGTGCAGGCAACACCTTCTCCATCCCTGTCTTCACAGGCTTGGGAGAAAGCACCTCTCACAGACTATACAGATTCAGAGTTCCAAGCAGATCAGCAATTGCTCTCAACATCTCTCAACCATAAAGTTTGGGGATCCGCAACATAACTTCAAGCAGCTCATGGCTTCCAGAGATCACCATCACCAAAGATACCGGTTGTCAGCACCTCCGTCGGTTCATCCATTCGCAGCTTCTTCCACAGCAGCGCCTGGTGATGTCCAAAGCGTACCTCGGGTTCACCGAGTTGACCGAGCCATGTGGAGCGCTGCAGATTCCAACTGGGCGCTGAACACAGCGCTGGGGCAGTGGCATTGGCTGTGGCTGGGGAGGTGATGCAATTCAAACTCTTCGTGCCGTGCTCTGGGACTTCTGCCTGAGACGTGGGGACGTCATTTCTGCGCAGTTTAGCATGGATGTCATGGCTCTTGTATCACAGGAAGCCATTTGATTTATGAAATGTGGTCATATCGCCGCATCATGGGTGGTTCTATCCCGGTTGTTGGTTGCATACTCATCTTGTGTTGTAGCCACACCTCCCACAGGTCCCATTTATGGAGCCAACATGGGGATATCTTCTAAGAAACCCCAGGCCACAGCGCTGCCTTCGGAAGGGGCTCTGAGAACCCACTGGAGAGCTGCATGTGCATGAAGAAATCCCGCTCCTTTGAGACGTGGCACTTTGTCAAATTAAGACTGGATTTTCATCATGATTTAATCAATTTGATCATTATAATCGTTGGAATTAGATTATTAAAGGAATTGAATAATCATTGATGATCACTATAATCATCACCATTTGGATGTCATGTTACCATATGTTACCCATTTACCCATTGGATTATTGGCTGGATTTCATGTTGCCCAGTACATCACCATTTGTTGCAGAGAGGTTGAGCCGCCAGAAACTGCGGCGCTTCCTTTTGCATGTAGATCCACTCTGACTCTGGATGCACTTCATTCCCAAAGTGCTTGCACACCGCTTCCAGAGCCACCATACCTGGCCACCGGCCGTTTCAAACAGTCAAAAACGGAGCAACTTTGGCGAAGCATCAAAGAACATCCACCATCACATTGCAGGTATACCAAAACAGATCATCTCACCAGGGTAGATAAATAAGTTAAGTTCAGAGGAGATGTCCTACCAGGACATCACAAAGCTGTTCGGCTTGCCCTGTCGAAAGTTCCCAAGTGTCACGGCCAAAACTATGCACATTTTCCGTGGAAAAGCCAGCGCCCTTGTGAATCTTGCTATGGCCAAGCATTCCAAGCGGATCCCAGACGCATTTCAGTCACAATTCTGAAAGAATGTCTGAATATGTGTATCATAATTCTACATGAATTCAAGCCCCAAAAGCCTGGTGTATCTTCAACTTTGCAAGAGCTGTTGTGGGTACGAAAAGCTCTCCGGGTCTTGGCTGGTGAGGAACATCATCTTGGATCGCCATCTTGAGCGATCCAATCATTGTCCTCTGATATGGAAGGTGCTAAGAGAAATCACAAAATTGTAGGATATATAAACATTCTCTTGTTATTGCTTTGTTGTCCATTTCATCATTTTCATGGTGGATTGGCGCATCATCAAGCTTCAACATATCGTGCCCATTGGCAGGAATCTATCGCGTACGAATTGCTCAAACGTCTGCCGCATCTGCTGCAATTCTGCTCCAGCAAAGGAATTAATTTGGAATCAGGCAGAATCACAGCAGGAGTGATTAAAGGTTGACCTGCTCCTGCTACAATCTGGATCTCCAAAGCATTGCGACAGCAGATATAGAATACTCCCGACATTAGCAGGTTGTCCATTGATGGGAAACATTGCTTGTTGTCCTTTCTAATTTCGTGTCAAAACGGTCAAGAACTGGAAAATGCCCACAACTTCGAGCTTCCAAGGGCTGCAACCCAACTGAAAGCAAGGAGACCCTGCTGTGGACTGGCATCACGTGTGCTTCAGCATCTCTACATAAGAAGCTCCATTCCTGCGGGCCATGTGGGACCCCTCCAAAGTGGTGAATTCTAACGCCAGGTGGGTTTATCAGAAAATTTAGGTGAAAACTCCCCACTTTTGATGGTTTATTCAGGGGAGTTCCCCATCAAAACGGCCATTTGAGGAATCCCTAATCGCTCCTCAAAGGTCCATCTGTGGCATACGAAGGCGCCAAATCTTGGGGCTTGGCCCCATGTCCTCATGTGTCGCTTGGTGCTGTGGTCCATCTGAGATCCCAAATGTGAAGTGCCATCAGAAACCATCAGAAACCATCAGAAACCATCAGAAACCTGGCTCCCACTTTTGCAGAAGGATCAGAAGGTAAAGAGCGCGTCTGAAAGCGAATGTCCGGCTGTTTCTGAATCCTCCGCCATCGTTTACTCGAAGTCTGCCATGCCAAGACACCAAGAAGTAGAGGTGTTGTCCGCTGGCACAAAAGCCCTGAGCAGCTTCGGAGAGAACCAAGTGGCCAGCTAGTCGACCATCGTTGCTGTGGATGTGAAGCCTTGCCCGGCTGGGGCGGAGAACAAAATCATGGGATCCCAACATCTCAAAAAAAATGTACAAAGATCTGTAAATATGCTGCTAAAAAATGTGACAAAAACAAAGACATCTGCCGGGACACAGAAAGCAACCACTAGTCGTTAAAAGATGTTAAAGTAAGTGTAACATTTGTGTAACCACTAGCCAGGCATGTGCCACTGTTGCTTCACCCAACTTGGGTCCAGCCTGGTACCATTCTGCGCCAGGACCGCTACATGGTCAGCACCCACCGCACGCACGGAGCCTCCATCGTGACTGGCATGGCCCAGAGATGCTTGATGTTCTTCATTTGGATAGAGGTCAAGGTAGTTCTTAATGTAAGAATTCAGAATGCGATAAATTTCTACAGACTTGTGGAACATGTTTCTACAACCTCGATAGCTGTTGTCATTCAATATCGATTCCAACTGATGGATCAACAATGGCCTGGCTCCCAGTACTCTGACTCGTGTGGGTCGCGATCTAGAACCGCATGCCTTGGAGACCCCATCATTTCATAACGCAAACGGAGATTGCCGATTCTGTAAATCCAAAACAGCATTGACTGATTCTCCTGGCCAGAACAGAACAAGAAAAAATCGGAAACTTCTGCAGTCATCAGGAAGAAATAGTATACTATAGCTACTACTACTACTACTACTACTACTACTACTACTACTACTACTACTACTACTACTACTACTACTACTACTACTACTACTACTACTACTACTACTACTACTACTACTACTACTACTACTACTACTACTACTACTACTACTACTACTGTACTACTACTACTACTACTACTACTACTACTACTACTACTACTCTACTACTACTACTACTACTACTACTACTACTACTACTACTACTACTACTGTACTACTACTACTACTACTACTACTACTACTACTACTACTACTACTACTACTACTACTACTACTACTACTACTACTACTACTACTACTACTATATATACACATAGAAAGAGAGAGAGAGAGAGATAGATAGATAGATAGATAGATAGGTTGATTGATTGATTGATAGATTGGTAGATAGGTAGATAGGTAGATAGGTAGATATGTATATATATATATATGTGTGTATATATATAATATGTATATATTGTTGCGCCGTCTCAACTAACAGTGCATAGAAACTCCACTTCCAGCACCAAGCGTCGTCGGAGTCAATTTGCTCGAAGAGCTCATTCCCAGACGCACCAAACGACCACGGCTCGTGCCCAGTAAGATGCAGTTGTCGCCTCCAGGAACGACTTGGCTGTGATTACTATTGAAATATACATATATGTATATATATTATAATATACATATATATATATATGTATACGTATACTTATATTTATATAATTTATATATATATAATCTGGAAATTCCTGGTGAAATTATATCAAATTGATTTAAATAGATAGTAGTTATGGAATGTTATTGGATGTGATGTTCATCTCCATCAACCGATGATCCAATTGGTATCCCACCAAGACAACTTGCTGTCCAAAATGACAAGATCCGGGTGCCTCTGTGAGATCCAACTCCCGACTTGGCGGTTGTTGAACTTTTTTCACAATCTGAATGCTTGAAGTTGAAACACCAACTCCCATCTTGTGCATTTCATTCTGATCTTTAAAACGACTCAACACTCTGGGAAGGAATGGGGCAGCCTGTGCAGTGAGCTTGCGAAGTGAGGGTGACAGCCTGCGGAGTCTGCGGAGTGGCTTCTCAAAAAGAAGTCTTGTAAACTCACTGAGTGCTGGCATAGTTTTGATGGTGGCATCACTATATACAATCTTCCCAGAAGCAGTACTGTAACTGGATCCTTTTCAGCATCCAAGCTGAGTTGAAAAAGTGTGATGTGAGAATGTAGGGTCCACAATAATAAAATACCCGAATACATACATGAATATATACACTGTTTGCGCAGCTTCATGTTATCCAATGCAAGTTAATTTGCGTGTGAAATTGGACGATTTTGGACCCACCACGATGCATCTGACTCAAAAATAAGCCACGGACGTTCCGAACGGACCAACGAATTTGATCCAATCTGATCTCTATTTTGTGTAAGTCAAACATCCAGCTTTCAGCGATATCTTCCTCATGAAATCATGTGAAATCCCCTGGTGAACTCTCTCAACTTCCGGAACCCAGGTGAACCTTCTCTACCCGCGCATGCGGTGCCCTGGAGCTGGCGCCAGCTGGGCTACGGAGCTCTTCCAACCAGGCATCGGAGATCTCACGGCCTGATGGGAAAAATTTTGGAAAAGATTGGGGGAAAATTAGGAAAGATTGGATGGATCATGGTTTTCCAATATGGCAGTGTGTCAAAACCTTGTACCCCTGGTGAACATCAAAATAGCTGGTAAATGGATGTTCATCCCATTAAAAATGGTATTAATAGGTATTGATCCATACCCATATTTTCAGATATTGATTGGTTTTCAAACGCGAATTTGACAGGCTGGAAGTGCGATTGGAAATGGCTCAGAAATTGCCAGTGCTCCAAAGTCTGAGGCTGCCAGCAAGCCGATTGATATGCTAAACGTGCTCCAAACATCAGTGCCAGGACATTATCCAACATCTTCCCTTCACCTTCATAACCATCAGAGATCTCCATAACATGGGTATGGCCGTATGGCCCTCAAAATTGGGTACCAAAAAAAAAAATGGATGTGGTTAATTCCAGAAATAGGCTAAAATCTGTGGTGTCCCAGGTGGATTTTGATCCATGTCCATATCCCCGAAACTGCTAAGCACCGAAGGCGCCTTGGGCGTCTGCATGGCTCATCTTTGTGCCGTTGCCAAGGTGGCAGGAGCTCAAGCGCCGCCCGGAGCGGTGTAGCACCTGTCACCAGAAATGGGGGTACCCCAAAGGACGAGGATCTTGCAGGTTGTTTCACCGTTCGCCCAAAAAGTCTTGGGATATACAGGGCTGGAACTAACTTGGAGCTCGAGGTGATTTCCAGCCAAGCCAAGGCGCCAAAGCTTCACAGCGGTCTGCAGTCGCGGTGTCACAGCGCACCGTGGCATCCACGAGGCTTTCACCCGGCAGACACGGAATCGCAGCCTGGTCACCATGCAGGTCAAAATGTCAGACCCAATGGACCGATTCACCCGTTGTCCTTCGAAGTATGAAGCCATCCATAGCCATCCCATGGTCGTGTAAGGGACCCAAGTTCAACACCCATACCCATATTATCCGCCGACCCCGGCCGACGCAAGGGGGAGCGCGTAAGGGAAGAAGATGGAAATTAGGTGGTGTTTTGCTGTTTCGGAAGCGTTTCGAAACAGTAGGCCCAGCCATAATATTGTTTAGGCGATTCTGGGGGATTCGGCTGAAACAGTTGGCCCAGCTAGGATTCTCGAAGTAGGATCTAAACTAGGATCTAGATCTAGATCTAGGATTCTCTAGGATTTCAGAAGGGACGTTAGGCAGGTTTCTGTAATATTGTTTAGGCGATTCTAGGGATTCGGCCGAAACAGCTGGCCTAGCTACCGGAGATTCTGAGGGATTCGGCTGAAACGGCTGGCCCAGCTAGGATTCTCGAACTAGGATCTAAACTAGGATCTGGATCTAGATCTAGGATCTGGATCTAGATCTAGGATTCTCTAGGATTTCAGAAGGGACGTTAGGTAGTTTTCTGCCGCGATTTTTCGTTATTTTCGGCACGAAATTAGGTGGTGTTTTGCTGTTTCGGAACCGCTTCGAAACAGCAGGCCTAGCTGTAATATTGTTTAGGAGATTCTGGGGGATTCGGCCGAAGCAGCTGGCCTAGCAAGGATTCCCGAAGCCGCGATTTTTCGTTATTTTCGGCACGAAATTAGGTGGTGTTTTGCTGTTTCGGGACCGCTTCGAAACAGCAGGCCTAGCTGTAATATTGTTTAGGAGATTCTGGGGGATTCGGCCGAAGCAGCTGGCCTAGCAAGGATTCCCGAACTAGGATCTAGATCTAGATCTAGGATAGATCTAGAGATCTAGATCTAGGATTCTCTAGGATTTCAGAAGGAACGTTAGGCACTTTTTTGGCGTGGTTTTGGAACTAGTTCGTCCTTCAGAGCCATGGTGTTTTCCTGCCGGGAGCTGCTTTTATGCTTTTTTCGAAGTTGTTTTCGGAAAAAGGTTGTTTTTCTAGGATTTCAGAAGGGACGTTAGGCACTTTTTTGGCGTGGTTTTGGAACTAGTTCGTCCTTCAGAGCCATTGTGTTTTCCTGCCGGGAGCTGCTTTTATGTTTTTTTCGAAGTTGTTTTCCTGCGAGCGGGCGCAGGCAACAGAAATTCTCGAAAAAGGTTGTTTTTCTAGGATTTCAGACGGGACGTTAGGCACTTTTTTGGCGTGGTTTTGGAACTAGTTCGTCCTTCAGAGCCATGGTGTTTTTCTGCCGGGAGCTGCTTTTTTCGAAGTTGTTTTCCTGCGAGCGGCCGCAGGCAACAGAAATTCTCGAAAAAGGTTGTTTTATGTTGTTTTATGTTGTTTTTCTAAGATTTCAGAAGGGACGTTAGGCACTTTTTTGGCGTGGTTTTGGAACTAGTTCGTCCTTCAGAGCCATGGTGTTTTCCTGCCGGGAGCTGCTTTTATGTTTTTTTCGAAATTGTTTTCCTGCGAGCGGGCGCAGGCAACAGAAATTCTCGAAAAATGTTGTTTTTCTAGGATTTCAGACGGGACGTTAGGCACTTTTTTGGCGTGGTTTTGGGACTAGTTCGTCCTTCAGAGCCATGGTGTTTTCCTGCCGGGTGCTGCTTTTTTCGAAGTTGTTTTCCTGCGAGCGGCCGCAGGCAACAGAAATTCTCGAAAAATGTTGTTTTTCTAGGATTTCAGACGGGACGTTAGGTACTTTTTTTGCGTGGTTTTGGAACTAGTTCGACCTTCAGAGCCATGGTGTTTTCCTGCCGGGAGCTGCTTTTTTCGCAGTTGTTTTCCTGCGAGCGGCCGCAGGCAACAGAAATTCTCGAAAAATGTTGTTTTTCTAGGATTTCAGACGGGACGTTAGGTTGTTTTTCTAGGATGTCAGACGGGACGTTAGGTACTTTTTTGGCGTGGTTTTGGAACTAGTTCGTCCTTCAGAGCCATGGTGTTTTCCTGCCGGGAGCTGCTTTTTTCGCAGTTGTTTTCCTGCGAGCGGCCGCAGGCAACAGAAATTCTCGAAAAAGGTTGTTTTTCTTGGATTTCAGACGGGACGTTAGGCACTTTTTTGGCGTGGTTTTGGAACTAGCTCGTCCTTCTGAGCCATGGTGTTTTCCTGCCGGGAGCTGCTTTTTTCGAAGTTGTTTTCCTGCGAAAAAGGTTGTTCGTCCTTCAGAGCCATGGTGTTTTCCTGCCGGGAGCTGCTTTTATGCTTTTTTCGAAGTTGTTTTCGGAAAAAGGTTGTTTTTCTAGGATTTCAGAAGGGACGTTAGGCACTTTTTTGGCGTGGTTTTGGAACTAGTTTGTCCTTCAGAGCCATGGTGTTTTCCTGCCGGGAGCTGCTTTTATGTTTTTTTCGAAGTTGTTTTCCTGCGAGCGGGCGCAGGCAACAGAAATTCTCGAAAAATGTTGTTTTTCTAGGATTTCAGACGGGACGTTAGGCACTTTTTTGGCGTGGTTTTGGAAATAGTTCGTCCTTCAGAGCCATGGTGTTTTCCTGCCGGGAGCTGCTTTTTTCGAAGTTGTTTTCCTGCGAGCGGCCGCAGGCAACAGAAATTCTCGAAAAAGGTTGTTTTATGTTGTTTTATGTTGTTTTATGTTGTTTTATGTTGTTTTTCTATGTTGTTTTATGTTGTTTTTCTAGGATTTCAGAAGAGACGTTAGGCACTTTTTTGGCGTGGTTTTGGAACTAGTTCGTCCTTCAGAGCCATGGTGTTTTCCTGCCGGGAGCTGCTTTTATGTTTTTTTCGAAGTTGTTTTCCTGCGAGCAGGCGCAGGCAACAGAAATTCTCGAAAAAGGTTGTTTTTCTAGGATTTCAGACGGGACGTTAGGCACTTTTTTGGCGTGGTTTTGGAACTAGTTCGCCCTTCAGAGCCATGGTGTTTTCCTGCCGGGAGCTGCTTTTTTCGAAGTTGTTTTCCTGCGAGCGGCCGCAGGCAACAGAAATTCTCGAAAAAGGTTGTTTTTCTAGGCTTTCAGACGGGACGTTAGGTACTTTTTTGGCGTGGTTTTGGAACTAGTTCGTCCTTCAGAGCCATGGTGTTTTCCTGCCGGGAGCTGCTTTTTTCGCAGTTGTTTTCCTGCGAGCGGCCGCAGGCAACAGAAATTCTC